CTAAAATAGTAGCTTTCTGTGCCGCATAATTCGGACCAAATAGTGTGAGAAAGGTGATGAGGTTAGTCCAGAATAAAGGATTTGTCAGTATTGAGACAGTGGTTCTCACCGCTTTGTTACTATGTTTTGCCCTTAATTATCAGGAAATACTATACTTGAAATTACATGGAAATAATTCGGTGGAAAAAATTGTCAAATCAGGGACACAACATTTAAAGTATCGTACGTAAAGTAGTAATATTAATGGCTCTACTGGGTCCAAGAATGATTTTTTTATTCAATCCAACCATTATCTTCAATTGTTGGTTCTAGGTTTTATCTGTATTTTCGTAATATTGTAATTTTTGCTTTTTGACTGACATAAAGCTTGTGAAGAGATGAAAAAGGATCATCCTGTCAAAAATGGGAATCAAACCAACACTCTAGGTGAGCCATGTGTCATTTTTTCTATCTTCTGATGTGGTGAGTGAGTGGTGTGTCATCCTGGAGATGTTTGATTTTAGATATACACGTACAGTAGACCTAGTATGAATATACACACTACTTCCCCCAGTAGCCTGTCACTATGCAGTGCCAAAATGGCAGCAGTCCAGCACTTCTCCAAGCATAAAGTGCCACATTAAAAATGCTGTGATACGTTTTTCCCAACATAAATTTTCCTGTAAACACTCCCCATAAAAACACAGTTTAAAGAAGCCTGAAAGTGACTGAAAAACATCAAATCTGTCCAACGTGACTGTAAAATTGTGCCTTCATCTTCCTTGTGTAAGCATCCTGATATTTACAAGTGCTATGGATGTCATCTGCGTTCACTCTCCTCCGTAGTTCCAGTCTTGTTAATTTTATAAGATCCAGCGTATTGCCACTTATCGGCTGGCAGCGTGGTAAAAGCAGTGAGGTCAGTGCATTACGGAGCTGCTAGGCCCCTCTCTTCCATTAGAGGGAGTGTGCAGCCTGCGCTGGCCTTCACTCAATCACAGCTCACAGACACACACTCAAATGTAAAATTGGAGACTATAGCGTATCTAAATGTGAAGGCATAAATCTCTATAAAGGAATATGTGCTTGTTACGGCTCTTCCAACCTGCAGCGGTAAAGACGCTTACATTTGCACTGAGAGTTTTGCATTTAAAGAGTATGTACAGCATATGCCTGACATTTTCAACACTTGGCATTTCAACTGCACTAAATGAGTTGTAGATTCCTGAAAGCCACATCAGGAGGAGTAAATAAAAAGAAATAATGTACTCGGTGAGGGGAAATACTGACATTGACACATTTAAATGCAAATAGAAATAGAATTTGTAGCTGAGGCAAATAATGTTTAAAAATGTTTTCAGCAAATTACGTCAGGTGGATGCCACTGTAACCTCGCACTGCTAAGGTCATGAGAAGTAGGAAGTGCACTTATTGACAGATTAAGGGCGTGATTTTCTCTCACATGACATGCAAGAGGCAAGAAAAGTTTTGCCACAACTTCACGATAAACACATCATATGATGACACATATTTGAAATCTGGGAAATTTGAATTTTGCCGATGCCTTCAAAATTTAGATCTTCACTGCTACCAGTCATATTTATGTGGAATTTATTTCTACTGAAAAGGAAAAAAGTAAATCAGAATATACTTACTACTATACTAATTCATATTAACGGAATTATTATTATTATTACTATTAATGATGTATGTTCCATGTATTCATTTATTATGTGCAATTGTATTCATAAGAAAAGCATAATTATTGGTAATAATCCTTTCAAACAATTTACTTTTCTAGCGGCAATAACATGGATTACCAGCAGAGATTTTGTAAAAGCATTGGACACCTGCAGCGTGCCTGGTCTGATGGTAGATACGCAGGGTTGGACCTGGTGGGCGCTGAATGGATGGGAGACCGTAGGGACAAATCTCCAGTATATACAAGTATGTTTTTTCTTACTGTTCTGACTGTAAAAAGTAAAATAAATAATTCAGAATAATTGACTATGAATGTTAGAAAAAATGTCTGTGAAACTGATCTAAATCATCTGAGAAAAGAAAATTGCATGACAAATGTAGACTTTCGGGTTCTACGATAGGTCCGTAGTGAGACACGTTAGTCGATAGTAAACCGTTTGGAATCTTGTTTAGTGTCCATACAGCCAGAAATGAGGAATGAAAGCAAATCTTTATATTAAATGCTATTGGTTTATGTGTTTAGTTCAATTTTAAAAGAAAACATTGTATTTAATGTCAAGTGATATTTGATAACGGAGGGCCCTGGGGAATGTTTTGATTCCAGACTTTGGGAACCTCTGATAAACAGTGTAGTTTCAATCAATAACATTTTGATAATAGTTGCTTGGTGAACACTGTTGGTAGAGTCTGAGATTCTTCTTGATTTCACTACACAAACAGTTATATTATTTCATTTTTATAGAAAACTCATACATTTATAACAAACTTATAAAGACCTTCTAAATCCATAGCTTATATGCAGCTTTATTGGTTTGTGGTGGTTGTGGGGTGCGGGTGGAAGCCCTCATAGACTTTGCATGAGAATAGGCAGGGTCCTGTGAACCTTCTGCTCCCAAAGCACACATTCAGTGCCATGGCTGCAGTTTGCATGGCAGACGATAGGCTCCAAGTTCTGCTACTTTTAAAGAATACTGGCTCCACCCACTCATGTCTTGATACTGCAGCGTGACCTGTCTCTCCCCGAGTGTTCACTGAGGTCACTGCATCTGTCTATAGGTTGTGCCAAGTTCAAGCTTGTCCACCCACTCATGGAATGTAGAAGGAAAATAATCATGCACTTATGTTGCATTCTTTATTTTGTTTTTACTCTGATATATATCAATACAAGGTCACAAATTAACATTTCCAAATACAGTATCAGATCCTGACCTAACAGGATGTTCCTAAACAAACTAGAATAATAATAATCAGTTGTACACAACCAGTATATTATACTTAGTCATAAAAACAATACCTCTGTTATCTATAGCAACATGAATGATAAAATATATACTTTAAAATGTAAAGAAACAGTTTGTACAGAGGTTGTGTTTCCAATTACAATCCAAACTTTTATTGCCATAGTCCTTCCCTGGATGTAGAGCACACACACATGTAACACCTCTGGCTGCTGGGGTTTAGGCACAGATGGATTTCACCAAAACAACTGGAAACCCAACTCTTTATGAAAAGATGAGGATGTCATTTCAAATGAAACTCTTTCATACGGTCTTTAATTTAAATATATTGTACGTTTAATATTGGCCCAGGGGACCCATTTTATTGTTCGTATTTTTCCGGCCCTTCATAATGTCTGTAAAATTTAGCACTATTTTGCATTGAGAAGATTTACTTGATCTGCACTATCTTAGGGATGTATTATTATTATTATTATTATTTTGATAATTGATTCATAGTATTTTTTCAATTAAGTGATTTGTTGTTTCAAAAGCAAATATAGTTTAATTCAATTAGAACCTGATAACGCTGAAGTAAAGACACCAGATTGTTCCACCCATATTATCAATATAAATATTAAAACATTTCCTGATTAATATCTTGTTACTGTTTGAGTTTTGAAGTTTTCAAAGCACAAACATATGTTGGAGTCTGTAGATAGAGCAATTCATCAATTATCAAAATATTTGTCCATTACTGAAGTAACTCGATTAGTTCAGCTGTCCATTTTTTTCAATTTCACTAATATTGTGGTCATTATTACTTAACTAACAATTGTCCCCATTTGAAATGATGTTTAGCTTACTTCATCTGTGACTATGCCTAATTTTTTAAGGACACTTCACTACTGATTTAAGACAGTGGTGGCATAATAAATGTAAACTTGAATAAGGTGTAAAGTCCTTGTTTGTTTTTGTAGCTAATGAGCTTAGAGGCGCTCAGGCCTGCTGTTAGAGGCTTTTGTGCTGCTGACAAGCCCAGAAGATGTCACACTGCTTTATAGACCAACCCAACACTGACCAATTATAACACAATTAGTGCACCCCTGAGGTTTATTTAGGTCAACAGTGGACTGCTTTTACTACTTGTACAAGCCCACTCAAAGAGTGGGGGAAGACTCTAAAGTTTTAGTACATATTATCACATGTTTTAGATGAATATTGTGTCAGATTTACAAGGCCCATGAAAGTTATAAAATTATATAATGCTTTAGGGGTGTATTTGAACAGATAGATTTCAAATCAATCACTCGAAAAGACCAAGGAAAAAACCTCAAGCATCAAATTATAGAACTTTCAATACAGTCTCAAGATATAGTGCCTGTATTTGCTTGAATATGACATTACATTACATACAACTTTAATCGTATGTCCTCACTTTTTGACGTTGAAGACCCAGTTTGGTTTTGATAAAGACTTGGTTGTGTCCTGTTCCAGTCTTGGTTGAGTCATGGTTTTATTTAACTCTTTTTATAGGAGCAATTGTAATGTGTGCGCAGGTGTATGCACACCCAGTTACTTTGTCCACACAAATGAATAAAAGATCAAAATTGTCTTCCCAGTGGCCACGTTCTCTCTGGGTGGGCCTTGATGTCCACTCAAGCTCTGTATACACACTGTATGTGACATGATCCGTAACTCTATCTATAGGTGTTATGGTATCATTGCCACCATTAAAGAGCTTTTCCACCTTCCCAATGACCTCCTCCTCGCCTCACAGGACACAGAAAACGACCTGATGTGCACGACTTTGACTCAACGCCCCTCTATAGGTGTGTGTGTGTTTGGGTGCACTTGTGTGTGGCTGACCAGTGTTTTCCAAAGCCGTCCAGCATGTAGTGCCCGGCCTTCCTACCCGGTGAGGGTCGGGGAATCTAACACGGCCAGTAAGCATGTATATCAGGCCATCTCACGGCTCGCTGGATGCTCCCTGGGTGGGCCGCCATGGTCAATACTGCACTGATGACTGGACACACAGAATAGGATAATCTCCTAGTTTCACCTCAGCCTTTCTGCCTGGGCCTAATTCCAGGTCAGGACCAGTCATAGCGAGGGGGCAGTGGAAGAGTGAGGATTGGAGGGGTGCATCGAGCCCATTTGAGCTGTAGCACACTGGAGGCATTGGGGCATCGTGTTGACTGGATGTAGGACGGGAGGGGGCTGATTTCCACAAAACAGTAGGTGCATATGATCATTGTTTGGAGTTTCCTTCGGCTCCAGCTCCCTGCTTCAACACCCCTGCTGCTCGCCCACAAAGCACCTAATTGACGTCACAGATTTAGGCCACTAGCTTTAACTGTTGTCACACAAGTCTTCAGTCAGAACTGGGAAATACCTTTTATTATGTATATAGGGCCACACAGTGTAATAGAAGTTATATAATATACAATTAGTTATCAGTTATTATGTTTTCAATGGGATGGATGCATCAGTCCTTTTTGTTCCACATAGTGATCGATCAATTCTTTGGCTTTGATTATAATGTATTTGAAGGTCACAGAAGGTTGTAAATAAAACACAAACTCAGGTTTTTCATCACTTATTCCACAACTTTATTGAAATGATAAAGTAATCATATTTTTCATTTAAAGGTTTTTCAATCCTTTCTTTACAGTCACTAAAAAGATTTTTAAATATGAATGTGTACATAATGTCTTACATTAAATGGAAAACTAATTCAACTGCCACAAAGTATTTCCAAATGATTTCCAGTAAAACACTTGAATGTAAATTGCAAAGTCAAAAGAGAAAAGACCCCTCGGGGTCTCATTCAATCTCCGACCTCAAATTGGTCTAAAATATAGTAATTCATATCTAATGAAACTAATTTTGGACAATATTGCTTGGCAGCTCCATTTTACACTTCAGACAGCTTTTAAATTGATTCAACCCTCAGCTTACCTTTTTTTCAGAGGAACTCCAGCTTACCTGTTTGCATTCGCGGCTGGTAATCACAGCCCAGTGATGTGTGCCAAATTCGCCCAGGTGGGAGGTTTTCCATATGTCTCTGACTAAACATGAGATACTAGATTTACACTGCAGTGTACAACTCCACTCCTCTTCTTGTCAAGGCAGGACCTGTGAAGACATAAGGCAGAACAATGGGCATTTAGTAATCAGCAACTAACTGGTATCACAGCACGGGTCGATCCTGGGACATCTTCTGTTCAATCTCTGCATGCTGCCATTAGGTTTGTTAATATGCAGTAACAACTTGTCCTATCACAAATCCGCAGACATTCAGATCTATGTCTTACTCCAACAGATGAGCGGACGCAAAACAACTAAACTCAGACAACACAAATTACAAATGTTTGTCTTTTTACCCCATACACAGAGAGAGAGTTTTCTCTTACCTCCAGTCCATATCCCTAAAACCTTCAGAGTTCTGCTTTCGTACAAGTCTCTCCATGGCCTTGCACCAAAGTACATCCATGACTTGTTGGCACCATATGAACCAACTTGGACTTTGAGGGACTGACCTCTGGTGCCTAGAGTCAGGACTAAACATGAGGGGGCAGCGTTTCAGACTTATGCAGCTAAAATCAAGAAAGATTCCTTCAAAATGTGAGAAAAGCTTCTGACAATGTTCAAGTCTGGAATAAAAACAGTACTGTTACTGTGATTATTTATGTTTCCATCTGTTTATGATTTTAATCATCCCTTTCTTATTTCTTTTTTTGTTTAGTAAAGCATGAGTTGCCTTGTGTACGAATATGCCATACAGATACTTGCCTTGCCTTAATCGCCCGCTGTTTGTGCCTTTGTTTATGTAATCTGCTCTGGCCAGTCAGTTGCTCCTTTAACTACAAGAGGAAATTGGCGTGTGCTTGTGTGTTTGTTTGTGTGTCTATCAGCTGTCTGTATCAATGCTGCACCTGACCTTTTAGCGCGCAGACAGCCAGGGGCCAGGGGTCAAGTTGGAGCCTGTCTGACCCTAACGCCTGCAGCCAACATCACTGCACATAAACCAAGTAAAGGGGGAGGGGCCAGACTAATATCACCTTTGGGATTAAAATCCAGACAGAAATACGTTGACCCCAACGCCAGCCTCTTCTCCAACACACACACACTGTGGCGTTCTGCTTTGTCATAAAAGGAGGCTGCTGCATGACGCAGAGATGCTGAGTCTGTGGCGGTCATTGCATTTCAGGGATGAAGCAAAGACGAGAACATAAGCATCATATATTAGACACAAGGAAAGGCTAACTGTGCTAGTCATCAAGGCATTACCAGTTGTACAGATACAATATCAAAAAATGCAGTTTCTACGAGTGCCTTGACAATATAGGTTTTTACTATTATTATTTAACATATTTATTTTTTATTTATTGTTTATTTGACAGTACATGTTAATGAACACATCACTCTGGATTGTAGCCATTGCCTAATTTGCATGCGTTGTCCCACATTCGCACTCACAAACACACACTCATTCACCCTGAACTATTGCACATGTTTTTAGTGGTAGGGGAAACCGGAGTACCCGGAGGAAATCCTACGCAGACACAGGGAGAACATGTAAACTCTACTCAGAAAGGCCCTGTTCCGATTGTTCCGCCCTGGGATTCGAACCCAGAACCTTCTTGCTGAGAGGCGAGAGTGCTATTGTCTCAGCCACCGTGCCGCCCGTTCAACATAAAAATATAAAAAACAACAACATATTCTGTTATGTAGCTGTGTATTATCAATACAAAATGCTATATTTTGCATATATTTATCCTCTGTTTCTGTCATGAAGTATGTGTGATCCATATAAATGTGGAATCTATCAGCTCTTTTCCAAACCAAGTTTGTGTAGAAACGGGAAGCAAGTTCTAGAAGTTCTTGTACACTGTACAAAAGGGGAAAAAAACAAATCAAAGAGATGTGAGACTGACAACTCATTTCAAAGTGAAACTGAAAAAGTCAAATACAGATAGAACCAACAGATCATTGAAGCAAACTCCCCATTTCCAAATAACACCAAGAGTTAAGACCACTAATCCCTCTGTATTATTGCAACAGCTGTGGGGTCTACACGGCTTCACCAGTGATTAGCCAGTACAGATGTAAACAATATCCAGGCTGAAGAAGAGGGGTTGATCTGGGTAACACACTGCTGCAAGGATAGGAAAAGTAGACACAGTGGTGAATGTGGAGAATATAAAACAGGTGGAATGGAAGGGAGCGTGCCAAGGGACTGAGCAGAAAAAAAAATCAGGAAGTATTGAGATGAATGTTGGCAAAGGAAAAGTCTGAGGAATAAGTGAAGGTGATTTTGGTTGAATTTATCCGAGGCGCTTACAGAGAGCTTTACAGTAGCTTTAGCAGGGGGGGTGATGGGAGCCCCCAAAACTGTCGTGTCTTAACCGGCTGACGAGACACGAGGGAGACGTGGCTAATTTATGCAGAGTTAGGGCTGAGGGGGCGCCAAGTGGTGGGTGTCTGGGACCCCCTCAATAGCCATGAGAACCAAGGGGAAGCTGCTATGGGTGCTATAAGGGCTAAAAGGGGGGAGGGGAATGCTGTGTGTTTTTATGGAAAACCAGGAAGGGGGGGGGGGCCGGATTGGCTCAGACATCCCATTAGGTCCAGAATAGGCCATACGGTATTAGGCAATGAAAAGGATGAAGGAAGGGTAGCAGGAGGCTAGGTGTTTTGCTACAGCAGACTGGTTAGCTATTAGGTGCACAGGCCGGTCTGTCTGCGTCGCTGCATACTAATTCTACATTAGCACAGCCTTGAACATGAGCGAGGGATGATGGACTATATCACAGATAAGCTGTCCGTCTGATGGTGGACTGTGTGAGAGTCGACAAGGGTGCTTGAGAATTAGCAGTAGCACAGAGCCAAACTGTTTTTGATGAACTATGCCACCAAATCTCGTCTTGGAACAATAAAAACAGATCTGTGTTGTTAGACATGGCATCTTGACTTCAGTATATCAGTATTTTTCTTCCTATTGCAATTTCATAGCATTGCTTCAAGTATACATCTCGAGCTGATTAAAAATTACAAAATACTATCTTTATCTTTGAATTTATAAAAACATCAATTGTCCATGTTAATGCCACAGTTATTACTGTCTAGAATATCTCTCCTAAATTCCTGTGGCTAACGTTGTGTATGCAAAAAATCTGGCTGAAGGCCAAATGAGCGTGTGAGGAGCATGCAGAGGGGAGAAGATACAGACTGTGACAGGAGACAAAAGGGAGAAGGAGAAAAAAGAGGAGGAGACGGAGAGGACAGCGTTGCAGGTTGATGGTTGATGCTGGTGATGCAGGCGGACAGTTTAATGACAGTGCTCACCCCTGAACATACAGCACAATGAGCAGCGCGCCAGCTCACGAATGCACACGGGCCTATGACACGCGCATATGTGTGATATATAGAGCCACGCTTTCTGAAAAAGACATAGTAGTGGTGTAAATGAAAGAGAAATAAATGTGTCTGTGTATGACCCTGGATACAAGTAAAAGTAGCTCATAAATATACAAAAGGCACCTTTTTAGACGACCACTTAAGTAAATATAAAAGTTGTGTGTTTTATAACTTTTTTGTTATAACCATGTTCACTTCTCTCTAAAATATATTATACAAGATTAAAAAAAATGTGTCAAACATGTACTGTCAATCAATGTACTGTAAGTATGTAACAGCATTTGGGGACAGCCATTAATATAAAAACCCATTTTACTTATGCTAAGTTTTGCCTGTATTTTATTCATGTGGACCTGTCCTGGTGTGGACTTGGGTTTGGTACCTACTGATTAAACAAAGACATAGAGCCTACTCATAAGGGGAAAAAACACATGTCATTGGATCACACTAGGGCTGAATTGTGCTATATTCCCTCCTACTATAAGTGACCGTGACTGAGCGTTGGGTTGAATGAAAGGCCGGAGAGAAGTCTGTCAATAGAGCGCCACGCTACATCCCTATGGGAACCACCCTCTCACACAGGGGGGTGCGTTTTAAGCTTTGTTGGTCTGTTAACACAGCTTCTTAAAACGCCTCTTTATGGACTCAAGCAAACTGCAGCCCCTGATTCTACTGCCTCCAGAAGAACAACATGATGGGAGAGGTGGGAGATTTGATTAACAAGCGTATACGTAACAATAAAAGCATATAAAAGTCATACAATAATTGTTTACAATGCAACTTTGCATTCTATAATAATCTCGAGCAGGTGCATCCAAACCGGCTGCATCCTGAGAACTGAACTTTGCAGCAGAAGCAGGTCATTGACAAAGTGCAGCGTCTAACTGTGTCCTAGAATACAGTCAGCACACCACTTTCCCCAGAGGAGCTGTGAGACACAGCCCAAACAATAGGCCTGTGCACGGGTCGGACAAGTACAGTACAGGGCTGGGTTATAACTCTCAGTCTCTCAGGGCAATGCCAGATGACACTAAAATGAATAACAATGAACTTGAAAAAAAAAAGTTGGAAACATTAGAAAAGAGCCGCTTCCCAGAATCAACACAACACCATCCACAAAGGACCAGTGTGTCTCCATAATTGTACGATTGCACAGTGAAATATCTCAATATGGGATCCACAGAAGAGAAAAGAGAGTGCTCGCCTCTTCTGTTCCCCTCCCCTTTCCATCCCAACATACACATGCAGCAAGGACCCCATCGAAGCGCATCTATGGCTGCCCTCTGCACGCCTGATGGAAAAGCCAGACACCTCACTGGAGGTGCTATTAACCCTCTAGCCACAGAACTACACATTTGTAAATCAGAGCCCTTAAAAAAATTATATATATCTATAATAGGGGTTTCATATGTACATTTGCAGGGGTCCACTCTTCTAGTGGTGTAGCTGCATTTCCATCTTGCCATAGCGTGCTACAAAGGGCGGGTAAAAAAAAAAAATTGTGAGCTTCCACTACCTTCCAGCGGAGATGATGGTCCACAGGCTGTGAATGTATTTGAATATATTTACATAAAGATGGTGGCGTGCTGACACAGGCTGAGCTACTGCTGAGAACGCACCATGCAAGACATTGTCCCCAAAAATCAGAGCAATGATTGAAATGTGTGTTGAATGAGGAGTGGGGGGCTCTTGGTTGAAATGGTGAAGCAGAGTTCCCAGCCACGTATCAAGAGAATAAATAAAACATGCAAACACGATCAACTGCTAAAGTAAATGACTGCATATTTTTTGCACACACAGAAAAAGACAGCATTGCGGATTTTTTTTTAATGCTGATGCTTTCATCATAATCTTATCTGATTAATCGAAAAGTAACAACATTTTGGGGAAAAAAAATATTTTGGAATTTTAATTATTGAGCTTGTTTGAATAGCTACCTCTGTAAAAACATCCATATCTGGAACAGGGGAGAAGATATGAAACCATATTCGCTCAAAGCAGCAGATTTTATTAGCAGATAACAGTCCGGTCTTACTGTAACAAATTCGGAGGAAAGGATCCCTGTAACCTTTAATCAAATAGATGTGTGATCATGGCCCAAGGTACGGACGCAGCGGCTTTTGGGAGTATAATTTGACAAAAAATAACACCCAAGGAAGCCTGAAGGCTGTGATACAGTCCACTTGTAGATATAGTCAAAGCAAAGCAAAGAGAAGCATATGGTGGGGTGATAGGGGTCAGCGAGTATTCAGGAAAGGAAGACTAGAGCCCAGAAGCAAAGTAAAAGATTGTGTGGTGCATTTCTGCGTATGTATATGTGTGTGTGAATGAGCGTCAACCCCAGCTGGGCCGACATTTAGCTGACATACTGATAGGGATTTAAACAGTGGGTGGGTGGTGTGTCTGACCACGGTAAGGGAATGAGTGGAGAAAGGGGAAAGCGGCGAGGGGGATTTGAAATGCGGAGTATGCAATGGGCAGGCGCTGAGAGTTTGGGTGCAGAGGGGGTCTCAATCTCAACCAACACAAAACCACTCTTACTATAATCTTGATTTCAGTGAGACGATTAGCAGTAGAAATGAAGAGGCAAAACAGGCGGTAAAAGGGAGGTGGGTTTTGTAGGTCGCTCCAGGCTATGTGCAGAAAAAGAGGGGTTGCCTATTCAGGTGAGGGGAGAACGTGGGTCTCTCTTTCAGACAGTCTAATGAAGCATAAGTCCCCCGACTGAAACGATGGATACAGGCTAATACTGGTTTGAATTTAACACTAACTAGTTCTTTCCCGGATTGCTGCAGGCACACATATAAAAAGCATGAGCAGAATACTCCCAATATGATGTGTGGAAATCACACTGATAGTAGTGACCACTGCAGGGTTGAAAATGGTTGAAACCTAATTTAAAAATGTGAATAGAAGGCAATATTGAAAGGATAAAAGTGACCTAATCTGAGGTAGCATATGGCAGTAGGATCTTGTGTGACTTTCCTCTAATCTACTATTTCCACAACCAGAGCATTCCAACCAGTTAGGAAAAATGAATTACATATATTTTTGATTGTGGCATACACGTAAGATGAACCCTGATCCGACATCTTAAATTACAGGAGGCAGCAGACTGAGACAGACCATAGGGTGGTGAATGGGGTGGGGCAGTTGTCAAAGTGTCTACCAGTATTTGAGTGTTTTGGGCTGTTTGACCAGGGGGTCGGCTGGCTGTGCTGCAGGACTGATTTCTGGCTCGATTTGGCTCAGAGCCGACTTGAGATGAGCCAGGGGCAGGCTGACTTACTTGACTGAGAGGGTGGGCTGGTGTGGTGGTGATGGTGAGGCAAAGATGCTATTGGGGGGTTGGGTTTGTCTCCTGTGCTTCTTTGAGTTCAAGTTGTCCCTGGAGCAAAGCAATAAGAAGCAGCTTATAAAATGAGCAAACATAGACGGACAGTCAACCAGTCAGTCAGTGAGCTGAAGATGATGGGCAGACCGAGACACACATATAGGCCCCCCTGCCGCCACCACACCCCTGACCTTGACCCCCGTGCTCCGTAACTTGGGTCTGAATGGGAAGTTAGTGCAGCTGCCGTGTCTAGCCGTGATCTAACCTCAACCCCCTCGTCCTCTTTACCCTAATCGTTTAGCCTGTTCCCACGCTTCATGGCTTGGATGCTGTCTCGGCGTCTGTCTCGGAGCAATTTTAATATGTATATGTGCGTATTTTTAAATGGCCGGCCATCCCTGTTTCTAATGGAAACAACATTCAAGGATAATCAGTATTTTTCTGAAAATGGCCGACTAAAGATTAATTCTAATTCAAATTGTTTTGTCTGAATGAGATCACCTTTGTATTGCTCTGGCATGAATGCTTTTCCTCTTCCGCTTTGAATAGTATCATGAGTCTTTGTGGCATGCAGGCTCAGCCGTATTTCCCTTCACGCGCACACTTATGTAGAGGTTGCTATGAAATGTATGTGTGCTGCGAGGCGTCATTCGGCGGGTTCAAACCCCTCCACCTTCACATTTTCATTATGGCCAAATCTCAGGCCTGTGCTACAGCAGCGTGGCCTTTCGCTGGCAAGCAGGCAGTTTAATCACACATACACCACTACTCCATTTTCATTTCCTTTTCATACAGCCTCCATTCCACTCCAGCTTCATAATTCTCCCTCAGAGCTGTCTGGGCCGTCGCACTGTTTGCAGCCTGTTGAAATGACATAATCAGTGACTTGGATAAATGCCTGACTGTTTTCCCTGAGTCTATAATCAGACTTGGGGCTCAGCACAGCAGCTAGGAGGGAATACTTGACTCAGGAATAACTTCTTAAGAGGGCTAGTTACACATTTGGCATTTCAGCATCAATGAAATGAACTTGGCTGGTGCGCCGTCAAGTGCACTCACTGATAAATAAAATGCCTTCATGCTCCAAGAGTCCAAAATGTATATCCCGAAGTTTGTATTTTTGATTTGCCCTTCAGTTTTGTTTTATTTTTTATAGACATTTAATTCATAATATCCTCAAAATAAGTTTTTCTTTGTAGACAATACAAGGTCTTCCCTGTATCTAAACATTTAAATTCAAGCAAGACACAAATCAAACGTATATTCTTTGCATAACAATTACTGATTGAAATTCTACCTCCTTTTAAGGGAACTAAATACAGACTCTACTACACATAAATTCCCTTTGTGGTGTATTTAAAAGATGAATAATTCAAATGCCATTTTCATTTAAATGTTAAAGTGTTTTGAGGTTGAAAAAAATACCACAAGATTTGTTTGGTTACAATAAAGGGAAAAAAGCTAGAGTGAGTTGAGTGATGGCTGTAATGCTTTCAGCAACTATTACTTCACTGGATTGAAAACATTCAATCAATAGTCAAGCAAATCAAAAGCAGTGGGCAATCTGAATGAGAAACACCTCGCTGGACCGGACCGACAATCACACACAAAGTTTTACCACCAGCTAACCCCAAAATACTGCACGGTTTAAATATATTCAAGTCAAATTATACTTACCACAAAATTGCCTTAAGAAAGTATTTACTCATGTAGTCAAAATGCAAATGTGACTATAGCTGTGGCAGTACATCCGAAAACTGGTGGAGAAGTGTGGATTGCGGTAGATAGTGTTAGTGTTGTGTAGACAGTGCACTCTCTGACATTAGTTTGCCAATGCCTTTGGGACATGCACATTAACATGAACATGATTATGAAAGTTCTAAATTAGAGAATAGAATTAGAAAGAGAATAGAAAACCCAATGGAGATTTCTTTTGTGATGTTTTAAATGTTGGACTCCGAAGACGTCTATGAATCTGAATATTAAACAACTAGAAAAAACGCTTGGCTTGAAAACTCCAATTCATTATTGTATATACTCTTATCACAATTTTACAATGCCTATTTCCAATCACAGTATTCACAGTCATTGCATACCTGATATATTGCCTTGTTTTGTGCGGTCCTATTATAAGGTGGCATAGTAAGTGTGGCCTGAGCTTGTACCCCAGTTTGATTGGCTCCTTCCATTTGTGTTCGTGTTCCCTGTCCACCTGAAGTGTGCTGTGTACTGTAACCATCTCGCCCCTTTCTCTTTGTGTTGAATTATGCATAATTGCAGCTCTGTCGTTACACACATGGCCCTGGCCGTGATTAACATAAAAGCTTTCTGCTGTAGACGATGTGGAAGGACCATGTCCTTTTTTCCCTCTGACGTGTGAATGGACATATCCGCATAATATGGATTAGCAAATGTGTTCGCCGGCAGATATATGTCTAACACTTACAAAGCTTGGTCTGTTCTGGTTTAAATGAGAGAATGCTTATTATTATCTAATTTTAAAAAGCTGCCCTAGATTTAAGGGCTCTGGTTTGCAAATGTGAGGTCTTAAAGTATACAGTAAACATTCAAATTAAAATAATGTATTCCAGTTTAGCCTACACGGTAAGAGGCTGCCATGCCAGTCTGTCTTCTTGACAATATCATTTCTCTTTCCAAAAGGAGACTATAGCATGTAGCCCCTCCAGGCTAACATGGGCTATAAACTCACCTGCTCAGCTCAACCTTGTCTAAATCAGTGTCACTATATGGTCTGATGAGACTGAAAGGCTTGATTAAAACTGGGCCTGGTCTGATAAAAGAGCATAATAACGGGAGGGAGCTGATCTATTTAAGCAAAGGACAGATTTCTTGGCTGCTTATCAAGAGATTTATCATTTCATCATTTATCGCAGTTGCTATGCAGAATTTGAGAGAAAAAAACAATGTAATTCAATGCCCCACAAGAAAGCATGTGATGTTTGCATGGATTTTTTTTTTTTTTAAATAATGATTTATATCAAGTCCATTTCATATTAGGAGTAATCTTTCCCAGAATCCACATTTTAACAGAAGCACTCCATAATAAAAACATTAATTTGATTGTTCTTCTTTTTAGGATTTTATATTGAATGACAGATGAATGAAACAAAAAACATCACTTTATTATGTGTAACTGGAGTCTGTGATGGTTGTGAGTCTTTCCTGGGACTATAAAATTAAATCACTTCTCCAGCAACAACAACATAAAGCTGTACTTGGTAAGAAAGAATAATAGGCTCCATCCAGGACATGAGCAATTTGCTAAACCCCCTTTCTAATGATTATCAGTGACAGGTGAAAACATCCAAGAATGCTTTGGGAGTTCACAACAAAATTGACAAATGCACAACATACACACACACTCCTAAAGATTCATACACACAGTGGACAGAGGTAAACAGACGAGCATCCATCAATTGCTAACACCACATTAAGACCATAAAGCAGCAATACATCTCCTGCCCCACGTACACTGGCTGTACCCCGCAGCTCGGCCACTGATACCCCTGATCCCCCTGCGCTTTGACAAGGCGTAATAAAGCCTGTATGAAGCGGCGCATTGTGTGGGGAGAACACAATGTTGCATGCTGAGTGCTGTGAGAAGGGCGTACACCGGTGGGTCCCACGGCGCAGAAGCACACCAGGGCCTATAGCGGGGAGTGCTGAGCATGCTAATGAGGTCATTATGTTATGCTTCTTCCTCGCTCCAGCCCCGTTTTTTTTACAGTGTGGGCTTTGGCTGTCACGGGAGGCAGGGCACCCCCAGAAAAGCAGCCAATCACAAGAGTCACATATGGCACAATGAGAAGACACACAAGCGTCAGAAACGCAGAAATGCTTCATTTTTCATCTGGCATCAAAAGCAAAAAAAAGCCACTAGCGATTTGCATACAGAATAAGATGGGCTTAAAGAGAAGTGAAGCGCAGGGCAACCATGGGCAACATTCATTTGCTAATTGTTCCTTCTGCGTATTTAATCAGTAAATGCACACAACTGTGCTTCCTTTTCTTCATGGAAGCACCATTATTTACAGCCAAGGAAGAGGGGTTAAGAATCAAGCACATGCAAATGCAATTATGACATATTTGCATAGCCGTTAACAATTAAAGGGCAGATGGCAAACATCGGGCATTAAAATATGAGCGCCATCTTGGCTCGGGGAGACAGCTGGCAGACAGGAATCGGCCATTTTGTAAGCATGGGTCGCTGCCAGGCTGATGCGAATAGCGCTGCCAGTCTGTGTGTGCCAAAGATTGGCAGGCAAGGGCGAAGCATGCTTTAATACTCTCCCTGATACAGACAACAAGAGCTAACTCCAAAAGTCAGTGACAGGAGGATCACAGCCAAGCTCCTGGTGGGAGCCCACTGTGGAGACCGACACAACATGCAGCAGGTCTGATCTTATCACATAACTCTCATCAAAACAGGGGACATGTTGTTCCAGCTTTTTCTCAAAAGACCAATAATAGTTTGTGTTTGTGTGTTTGTATGTGTGTGTGTGTGTGTGTTTTTTTGTTTTATAGTAATATACATTACTCACCTGAATGTATGAACTTTGGTGTAGCCTCGGTGAGTTGAATGGTCCCTCTGTCCTTTAATGCCCTTCCAAGAGTACACACTGTACTGTATGACCTCTTAAAGCTCAGAGCAGGATGTTTTTATCACATGTGGAGAAGAAAACTTGCAGCTCGAGGCTTTCACCTTTGCACTGGTGTTAAGCCAGGGACTTTCATTTGAAAGGGTTCACAATTTTCTAGAGTCACCAGCAATTTTGTTAAAGCATCTCAAGAGAAAATCTCTTTGTGTTCAGAGGGACATCAGAAAACACGATGAAGAATAGTCTCAGTCAAAGTATGTTACATTAGACACGAATGGGATGTAGAGACTACAAATACTGTCCTTTTCATCATTCATTCAATTAGCAGCCGTTCACTTGTGCTGCCACAGGATTCCTGCTGCTGCATTAAGTGGACTTCAGGTGTCTTTTCCACACTTGGAGAGAGCTGTGAGAGCCAGAGCCCTCCTTCCTCTCCTCCACCATATAGATCAATACTGCACTGCCATATCCTCTGATGGGAGCTGCTGTAGTATGGCTAAGAAAATCTAAGGTGAAAAGGCAGGCTGCATCTGATGTGGTGAATGTGAGAAAAAGTTCAAATTGTCCCTTTATACTGGTTTAGGGTTAGATCTGTAGTAATGTTGTGAACTTCAGAGTTTGATGTGGGTCTGGGCAGCAGAGAAGTGTATCTGATGAATCAAATAGAAAAGGTGGAATAAGTAATAAGAGGGAGGGAGCTTTGACGTTGCGTATTCTTCTTTCGTTTCTCATCCTCCGCTGGCTTCATGTCTCTGACAAAGTTTTATGAAGTGGTGTTGGATGCAGTGAAAGGCCCTCGGGCGAACCACACACAAAGACTTGCTCAATCTTTCTTTGGCTGCTTCTGCGCACACACGTTCGCCCACTGACACTGCGTGTGGGGCGGTTCAGGGTTAGGGCCCGGTCCCGGCTGATGCGGGACTGTTGGATAAAGATGGAAGGAGAAATGCAGAGCTGGGAGCAGTGGAGCTGTGAGTCCCTGGGCTCCGAGGCCTGCAGGCGGTGCTGGACAACCTCTGCTCGCCTCTTTCCTCTTTATCGATTTCTGCTGCTCTGCACTGCTGCTGAAGCTCCTCGCCGCCGGGAAAGAGAGCTCCACTCACTCGCCTTCACCTGCCTCCATTCCGGCAGGGTTAGCCTAACCTGCCCACTGCCGCACTGTTGGCTGGCCCCTGCTGTCTCCTTGGGGCCAGTAAATGCAGCGCTGAGCCACAAGAGGAAGGCAGCAGAGAGCCCATGGCGGTCCGCAGCTGCGTTCACCTGCTCCGGGTTCAGTGCCTCACCACCTCCTCGATCTGATGTACCCTGCACTCTTCCATCCATCCACCCACTCTGCTTTATTCTCCTCCTCCACTGCCTCCGCCTCCTGTACACAGATACAAGATAGAAACAAGTTAATTCAAACTTTTAGAATGCCCCCATTGTGAAAGTCAATGTTGGCCATTCATAAGGCAGAAGTCAGGGATGCATGTTTTGGCATCTTCTGTCAGAGGGTGAACTAACCAGAGCACTAGCTGCAGAGGTGGGAGGTGTTAGCCAACAAAATACTGGCTGCTAAAGGTTCTCTCAGCTGTTGCTCTCTGATGTGCTTCCGATAGCAAAAATAACAACTGTAGGACCATTTTGGACATCCACTCTGGATCAATAGTTTTTCACAATAATATACAAAAAACTTCCATCACCAGCAGGACACAAACATTGTTGTTACTGATAACAGTGCATATATGTTAGCAGAACAATTGAAGCTCCCTCTTTGGCTGGTTATGTGGACTGGTCTGGACAACTGTGTGTGAAGGAATGGATGTTTTGGCCTCGCCAGTGGTGTTCTATAGAAAGTTTGTCAAAGAAAACATTTCAGCTTTTGTATCATGTAGAATTATTTAAATAGGTTCAGCAGTTCCCTTCTTATGATAATAACAGTTGGAGGAACACTTCTTTGAGGATTCTTGGTGCCATTGTGTTCATGAACAGAGAAAGAGCTTGGAAAAAATTCAACCCCCACTGCACTGTGTCGCTCCAGCCACACGATTCCCCGAAATATCCTGACAGCCCTTGAGTGTAGCTCCCTCCACCCTTAGCAGGCCTGAGAAAGAGAGAAACCCATGGGCCAACTGGCAACTGAATAGAGGAGTAAAGTGAAGAGGGTCCGAATCGGTGGTCTGGCAAGGCTTTGGAAGCAGGGTCTGTCTGTTAAGAAGAGCACATGCAGGAATTGTGCAAGGGGGGGTATGCGGTGTTGGGACAAGAGAACCAAGTTTGGGAGGGGGACAAGAGTTGAGTTAGCGGGACAAGGATGGGGGGTCTGGGGGTACGGTGCATGTCTCAGACACAATAATACTATTCATTGGGCTCAGACATGGGTGTTAACTCCCCTCTGACAGAGCACAATGGGACTTGGCGGCATTGAAGCAGCCTTGGTGATATTGTTAGTTCAGGGCTGCATTCTCGCTGCCGCAGGATAGAGCGCCTGCATTGTGCCCGTCCACCAGGATGGATGGAGGGAGGTTTGAGAGGTGAAAGGCAAAGAGGGGCAGAACAGTGCGTTTGTCTGTTTCTCAGAGCTGAAGGAGCAGGCAGAGGGGACAGGCCGGGGAGAGGGCGGGGACAGGAAGGTATAGAAGTAAAAATGGTGATAGTGTCTAGGCCTAGGGTGTGTTGGCCCATATTTGGACCTGTTTGTTTCATGAAAAAGAGGGGACAGCATTATGGAGATTAAAAACACCATGCAATAAATATTACTCAAGCAGCCAAGTGCAGGGCTGAGGATAGGCATTAAAAGGGTGGGGGCATAAATGGAGCACAGAAGCCTTGGTGGCATTTTTATGACTTTTTATGGGAAGTTCAATGCATTTTGTTTGAACGCCTTCACAGCAAGGAAAAGGAAGAAAGCGGGCAGGGAGTGAAAAGTAAGTAATGAAAGGAAATGTCTCTTTGTGAATACTATCCAGTGAAACCTACCCTATATTTCAACAGAGAAAAAGAGAGGACATCACATTACATTCCTCTGCTGCCATCCCCAAGAGTGAATCGTTTTGTAAAATCATTTCAGGCATAGCCATAGAGGCTAGCAGGTATATAGGACCTTGGCGCCACACACACACACACCCACACACACACACACACACACACACACACACACACACACACACACACACACACTATGTAAAAGGCTAGACATGACACGCCGCCCCCATTTGCAAACTCACACAGGTATCACTGCTTCTAAAGTGCAGAACAACCCTCTTTCATGAACAGTACTTTGTTTGTTTCCCCTCTGGTAAACTCTGACCAGCTGTTCCCATGGCAACCTCACCTGCCTGCTTGTGTGTATGTGCGTGTGTGTGTCTGCGTGTGTGTGTGTGTGTGTATGTGTGTGCGCGTGTGTGTGTATGCGTGTGTGTGTGTGTGCGTGTGTGTGTGTACGCTTGGCTCTAGTATGTTTACAGATACTGATGTTTGTATTAAAATGTTACGAATTTACTATTAATTGATGCGTATCAGTATAGCTTTCCTTAAATGCAGACCCAAAAGTCAATTTACAGTTAATGCAATCGTCTCTTGTACTTTTTTATATTGTCTTATTTTATCTTTGGTGTTTCTCATATATTTAACACAGCATTGCTTCAAAGAACTCTGTCTTGCTTAATATTGGACATTTTATTCAAAGATATTTATGGGTTTCAGGTGGAGTTGGTAAAGTATGGAATATCATTAATCAATGATAAAACTAGTATTGCAATTAAATGCTAGTATTTAATAAATAAAACTACATCTAAACAGGCTAAAATAATATCAAACTTCATCATAAGTAAGTATACAATATAAACCTTTTGGCTTTATAAAAAGTCATATTTTGAGTAAATTATATACAGTTTATTGTCCTAAAAGAGCATTTATGAATAACTGCTGCGTTATTGAAATTCATCAATTATCAATCATATTTAGTATTAAAAATGCATGGGATTTATCATAGTGATTATAACAAGTCAGAATGAATTATTATATACGTTTGAATGGGAGAATGGTTTAACTGGAAGCTGAAATTGTATATTTTAAATGCGTAGATGTTTTGATTTAGAATACTATTTACATATAATTGCAGACACCTGTTTAAAGGTGCAATACGTATCTTCTTATGTGAAATATAGTTGAGAATTTTGCATATTTGACCCAGTGGCAGCTTTAGGATCAATTGTCTGGAGGGTTTTCTCTGCTGTCGGACCTTTTCACCAGAAAACCTACAAAACAATTAATCCTGGAGTACCGTAGACACAATCGCGATCTAAAGTTAAGGCACCAATGCTGACCACACAGAAACTGGATCGCCAAAGGTCAGATACGCAAAACCCTAACCCTAACCCATACATATATATTGAAAAGTGAAAGGAGGAACATTGAAATATCGTTCAAAAGTTTACTTTTGTAATTACACTCACAATATGAAACCAATAGATGACAGACTCATAATAACCCCAAAATAAACATAACAGAAGTCAAATGGTTTGCTAATGGACTGTAAGCCATAATCATACAAATTATAACAAAGGCTTAGCGTATGTCACTTTGCATGTAATATAATGTTATATCATATATTAGTTAACGTGTTAAGTTTCCATCCATCCATCCATTTTCTTCCGCTTCATCTGTTGCCGGGTCGCGGGGGCAGCAGTCTAAGCAGAGACGCCCAGACTTCCCTATCCACACACACCTCCTCCAGCTCGTCCGGGGGGGACCCCAAGGCGTTCCCAGGCCAGCTGAGAGACATAGTCCCTCCAGTGGGTCCTGGGTCTAAGTTAAGTTTAAGTTTAATATTCAGAAATAAATACACCTGCATTTACTTTTTTACAATAGACTTAGACAATAGACTGTCAATGTGCTACTATTGGACAATTTGGACTTTTCTTTAGTTCAATTCGAGATAAATTAGAGTGTAAAGCTTAAAACCCCAACAAGCTCAACCCCATAAGTCAAAAGTTAAGTGTGTGAACAGCAGGCAGGGCCAGGCCAGGGCAAGGTTCTCTTTGGGGGAGCTGACACCCCAAAGAGGCAACAGGGCAGTTAGGTAGTGCACATTTTCTCTGGTGGAGGATTACACCAGTCAACCAGGACACACAATGTACCCCCCTCCTGGGATGGGAGGACCAACCTGCTCTCCCGGCACATTCACTCATCACTAACTTAATTAAGAACACACAGGTCTTAGAAAAAAAGTAATGCAAGAGATATAAAAGCAAAACACTAGGCCATGAAAGGGAAGAAAGTGGAGTTAGGAGCAGAGGGACACGCTAAAATAGGAAGGGGCATGAGGTAAAAAAAAAGTGGTGGGCAGCAGTTGCACAGGGCTGAAGAGGGTTTCTCCAGCACAGGATTAGGGGGGAGAAGATGAAAGGATCAGGCCTAACAGAGGACAGCAAAAAGGCCAGTAGAGATGGCCAGAGGAGGGAGGACGACTATACGACTTAAACTCAGAGCAAGCAAATCGGGAACAAGGAGAGCCAGGAGGAGTGGGAGAAAGCCCAGGTGAACATGACCTGCAGACATGTGAGGGAGAATCACTTAAAGCTTTTCTGGTGGATCTGTATGCTTCCATTTGTTATTTTAGTGGTACAAAAATGTTACAATCACTGGTCTCTTTTACTATCTGTACACAGAATATACACAGAGTCTTATTCTTCTATATATAACCGTGTAACGTAGGAAACAAAAACCAGACTGATAAAATTAGAATATATTGTTCGTAAGTATTTTTACTTCTGTAATTCACCGTACAATGTGAAATAGATACATGACAGTCTCACTAGACGGAAAGTGAGATATATCAAGCCTTCCTTTGTTTTAAATGAACACAGCTTGTAAAAACATTGCTCACAGCTTGTAAAAACTATAATATTTTGAAATAGGGCTGTAAGCCATTGTCATCAAAATGATATGAATATGGCATGTATCACTTTGAACGAAATATGTCTATATCATTTTGTGTTAAATTACAAAAATAAATTAACTTTTGGACAATATTCTAAGTTTCAACTATCCCTGTAAACCCTAACCCTGTATTTTGGCCGAGCACTGTATATTGGCAGTCCGACCTCATTGCGTTTGATTATATTTTTGAGCACTAGAAACATTCATTTTCATTCTGAATTCATCGCGATAATAAACATAGGAGAGGATCCAATAAAAACAGTTAAACACTCATCGTAGCCACTTTTAAAATTTTCACAGCCCTAATCAAACGCAAATAATAATTGCAGCTGTTTGAATCAAATGACACTGTGATTGTGCATACATGTTAGATGACCCACTGAACCTGGAACATTAAGGAGGGTAAATATTTAAATCACTTCACACTCAAGTTACAACATGCTG